TCATTTTATCAATAATTCAGTGTTTTTATGGCTGAGTAGTATTGCATTGTATGTAGAGGCCATATTTTAATTATTCACTTGTTGATGAACATTTGATTTGTGTTCATTTTTGTGCTACACAGACAAAGCTGCTAAATACCTCTGTGTACAAGTTTCTGGACATAGATTTTTGTTTCTCTGTGGAACTACTTTGGGAGGAAAGGCTAGGTTGAATGGGAAGTGCATGTTGTTGGGGTTTTTGTGTGTGTGTGTGTGTGTGTTTTTCAGGAATTTTGAAGTTGTTTCCAAAGCTGTTATAATTTTAATATTCCTACCTGCAGTAGGAATGTAAAAGTATTCAAGTTGGTTCACAATACTCAGTCTTTTTTATTTTAGCCAATCTAAAAGATGCATATGGTATGTCTTCATGTTTTCTTTTTCCATGATGAATAATCATGTTGTGCATCTTTTCAACCTACCTACCTTACATGGTGAATGTCTGTTCAAATACCTTCCCCATTGTTTGTCTTCATCTTATTTTATTTATTATTATTTGTTTCAACTTATTGAGTAAAAAGGATTCTTTAAATATTCTGTACAACAGTTTGATAAAAGTGTTGCAATTACATTCTCTACATGTGCTTTTTGCTATCTTAATATGTCTTTCAACAAGAAAATGTTTAAACTTGATAATGCCCAATAACTTTGAGTCTCCCAGCAGCATATCTCTCCAGCAATCCTGTGTGGTTTTCAGGGTAGAGATCTTGGATATCTCTGTTAGATTCATTTGTTCATGTTTCTTGGCACCATGATCCCTTCTATTTTCCAATTGTTTGCTACATAAAAATTACAATTGATTTTTATATATAAATCTTGTCTCTTGCAACACTGATAAACATGTTTATTAGTTCTAGTAATAGCCTCTAGAGTCCTCTAGGATTTTCTGTAAAATACAGTGTTGGGCAAAAGTAAGTTTACAATTGTTTGTATAGAAAATAATACAATAATTAATAAATAATACAAGAATAAAATGTTTTCGTGACTCACAACAATAAACCTACTTTTATCCCATCCTGTACTTTGTCATATGCAACTAGCAAAAGTTTTACTTCTTTTCTTATTTTTATGGCTTTGATTTCTTTTGCTCGGTTTATTGCAGTGGCTAAGAGGTTCAGTATGATACAGAACAGGGTTACAGTAAAAGCAATTATCCTGGGCATTTTCCTGAACTCACTGGAAAACAATTCAGTATTTTACAACTAAGTATTATATATGTTTTCTCATATATGTTCTTTATTGGTTTGAAAAGGTAATCTAATACTTGTAATTTACTGAGTTTTTTTTAATCAGAAATAGGTGTTAAATTCTATCAAATGTTTTACATGTATCTATTGAGATTATCATATAATTATTCTCCATTGTATGTATTTTTAGAGAGAAGGAAGGGAGAGAGACAGAGAAACATCTACTTGTTGTTCTACTTATTTATGCACTCACTGGTTGTTTCTTGTGTGTACCCTGAATGGGGATCAATCCCTCAACCTTGGTGTTACAGGATGACACTCTAACCAACTGAGCTAGGTGGTTAGGGCCACATTCAATAGCTTTTAAAAGATACATAGGGGTATGGTACTCAGATTTTCTATTTCTTCTTGTATCATTTTTCTACAGTTCAATAAAAAATTTTATTTCACCTAAATTTTGCATTTGTCAGCATAGAGTTGTCCCTTTGTCTCTTACTATGCTTTTAATGTCTATAGAATCAGTGGTGATAACCTCCCCCTTCTTTCCTGATATAGGTGGTTTATATTGACTCTTTTTCCTGTTTCACTCACTTCTGCTCTTTAATATTTTCATTACTTTGGGTTTACCTTCTTATTTTCTTAGCTTCCTAAACTGAAATCTTAAGTGGATGATTTAAGCTCTTTCTTCCTTTCTAATATAAGTATTTAAAATTAAGCTTTCCTGAAAACACTGCTTTAGCTGTATCCACTTTTTCATTATCATTCAATCAAAATACTTTCAAATTTCCAAGTGATTTTGTCTTTGATTCATAGATTATTTTAAACATGTTGTTTAATGTCCAGATGATTATTATTTCTAATATAATTTGACTATGGTTAGATAATATATTATATTAATCTTGATCCTCTTAAATAAGCACAATGAAACCATACTGTACACCTGGAAAAAAAATGTGATTCCACAGTTGTTTGATATGGTGTTCTGTAAATGTCAATTAGATGAAGGCGAGTTCTTAGCATTCTTCATATTTCTTATATCTCCAATTATTTATTTGTTTTTATCCAGTGGCTTTATAAAATACTAAGAAAGATCTTATAAAAATGTCCTAATATGACTGTGGTAGTATATCTTTTTCATATCTTCTATATCTCCAATTACTTACTTTCATCCAGTTGTTTTATAATCACTGACAGAAACTGTATAAAAATGCCATACTATGATTGGATATTATGTTTCCATTAATTCTGTCCCTTTTTTGTTTCATACCCTCTTAACTTCTGTTAATATTCTTTTTCTATGTCTATTTCATTTGAAAAATAAAAAAAGCAAGTCAAGCACTTTTACGCTCTTTGAATGGTATCTTTTTCCTACGCATTCATTTATATTCTGTTTCTGTGTATTTCAAATATTTCTCTGCAGTAGTCTTGCTTTTCTCCCCCCATATAAATCTTTGCCTTTTAATGGGGGTAGCTGGATCAGGGTCAGCTTTTTCTGTAAAGGGTCAGACAGTAAACATTATAGGCCTTGTGAGCCATTTTATCCTTTCCTGCTACTTACTTCTGCAGTTGCAGCATCACAGCAGCCTTGACGATATGTAAAAAATGTTATCCCCAACTTTGCCTTGCAGACCTTAGTTGCAAACTCCTGGTGTAAACGCTCCAAGTGAAGATCATTAACATTTAATGTGTTCATTGATTAAGTTGGTTCAGCCCCTACAAATTATTATTTTTTGTTTCTATCCTGTTTTTGTAACTCTATTCCCACTTCTTGACTTCATTAAATTGTAATATTTTTAGTGTTTCATTTTATTTTATTTTATTATTTTTAAAGGATTAAAAAAAATTTTAGAGAGAGGAAGGAAGGAGACACAGAGAGAGAAAAAATGAGAGCACAACATTGATCAGCTGCCTCTTGCACGTCCCCTATTAGGGATCGAGGCCCCAACCTGGGCATGTGCCTTGACTGGGAATTGAACCAGCAACCTTTTGGTGCACGGGACAACGCCCAACCAACTGAGCCACACTGGGCAGGGCAGTATTACATTTTAACTAATCTATTGGCTCTGGCTCCACCTGATTGTATTTTTGCATGTTTTTCAACTTCAGTATTTTCTATGCTCCATGTTCAAGTTCAGTGATTCTTTCTTCTGTCATATGCAGGGCATATCTTAAAACAACAGGAATTTTTTGTTCCATAATTTTGGAGGGAAGAGTACCTAATCAAGGTTTAGTAGGCCACCCTTCCTCTGAGACAGCAGAATTGATTTCTCTCTTCCTTGTTTCTGGTGGTAGCCAGCAATCCTTGAATTCTTCGGCTTGCAGCTTAATTAATCCAATATTTGCATATGGCACTCTCCCCAGGTGTCTTTACATTGACTCTCCCCTGTGTGTGTCTTCATCCAAATTTCCCATTTTTATAAGGAAATCAATCACATTGGATTAGGGCTTACACTATGACCTCATTTTAACTTGATTATTTCTATAATGACCCTATTACCAGATAAGGTCTATATATATAAAAGACTAAGATGCAGAGTGTCCCTCGGGAGTTCGATCGCTCACTATGATGTGCACTGACCACCAGGAAGCGGCGTGGAATGAAGGAAGGCCCTGGTCAGCAGCCAGAAGGTTCTGATAGTCCCTGATCACCAGCCAGGCCTAGGAACGGTACCCGTGCATGAATTTCGTGCACTAGGCCTCTACTACTAAAATAATGGGGGTTAGGAATTCAACATGTCTTTCGGGATGGACACAATTCATCCATAATAATTTATCTTCCTCTTGGAAATGTTTTTAAGCAAATTTCAGCAATAGCATTCAGGGAATAATCTATGAAAGAGTAAGTCATCTCATAATTATTCTCTCCTATATCACTGTGGGGTCATAATAGAATGTCAATTATTTGCATTTTAATGAGGCCATCACCAATATATAGCAGGTCCAATGTTTACAACATGCACAAATGAAAACTAAACCAAACTGTATAATATACAGTACAGAGGTAGAGGATGGTATTAGAAAGGAGGCTTTATAAAACAGAGTTATAGCTGAGCCCACTTTAAAAACATACTTTTAAAACTGGCTTAAAACCACTAATGCTGGGATAAACAGATTTTCAATATCAGATCTAGTAATATTCTAAAAAGTATTTGTTTAAAAATAATATTTCAAATAGAATTCAGCACTGAAAAGCTATATAAAAATATACTATAGTCTGCTTGAGGTAAAAACCAACAACAACAAATATTACATTCTATGCAATTAATAATTTGCACAAGCCTAGGTGATTAAAATAGAAACCAAATTATAAAACTGTAGAATACAATATGTTTGGCCTATATCAACTAATGTTATGAGAACAACAAAATACCTTTTTAAAATAGTAAATAGTGCTTTTAAAAAATATATTATATATTGAGCAAAAGAAGTTCTGAATGGTAATCGGAGTGAAAATTAGATTTGATCACTTCAACAGACTCCTCCAATCTGATGGTAAAGTAGCTCATCAGTATTTAAAAACTTTACATCTGCAACTGATTTATTCCATCAGCCAAAAGATGCATTTATGCAGCCACCGTGACATTTTTAAAAGAGTTTAAATTACAAAACTTGAGAGAGCGTCAAAGAAATTCTTAATCTAACCATTCTAATCTTGATGGCCTTGTTAAAAATAAATTTAGGATGCTTAGTAGAAAAGAAACTCTGCAACAAAATGGCTAACAATTGTTCTTAAATCACATTATTTTAAATTTCTTTTCATAAATCAAATGTACCAACCTGGGGATTTGAGCATTTTATCTCAAGCGACTCTAGGTCAACATGGAGGCAGACAACAAATGAATGTCTTGCATCAGGTGCTGTTGTGAGTAGTTTTTGAGATGTCACGGCTAGAGTAGAGGTACAACCCATAGGATCCACTAGGCAAAGTGTCACTTGTTTTCCAAAAAGGGTGTATACGCTGAAATGATGCAAGCTAATAGTCCAAGGAAAAGCATCACCTGGTAAAGAAGCACACATGCATAAATGTTAATTGTCACTACATCGTAAGTTGTCTATTATCTAAATTTGAATTATAAAACATTCAATAAGGCATAATTAATAAAGAATATAGTAGCCCGGCCGGCATGGCTAAGTGGTTGAGAATCTATCTATGAACCAGGAGGTCACGGTTCGATTCTTGGTCAGGGCACATGCCTAGGTTGCAGGCTCAATCTCCAGCCTGGGACATGCAGGAGGCAGCCAATCAATGATTCTCCCTCATCAATGATGTTTCTCTCTCTCTCTCTCTCTCTCTCTCTCTCTCTCTCTCTCTCTCCCTCTTCCTCTCTGAAATCAATAAAAATACATTAAGAAAAAAAGAAAATAAATGGTAAAATGTTAATATCTAAAAAATTAGTAATGTAGTATACCAGAGAGTAATATGGTAAACAATTTGCATGCTATATTGTTACCGTCTAAAACTGTTTAATTTGTATTTATTATAACATACTATTACATCATTAGTTACAGACATTATAAAACATACAGAAATAGAAATGAAGGAAATGAGATAGAAATATAAGTAGAAGTTCTAACTTCGTCTTCCCTCATCCTAGTACGTTATATTGTGCAACTGCTAGGGATGTACACACTATACTTTAGAGACCACAGAGAGTGTGTTAAGTTAGAAAAATGCAATAATCTTTGCAGTGATTGAAGGTGATCAAAAATCTGGCTGTGGAATGAGAAAAGAATAAATAATATAATATGGTCTGTTGGACCACCTGGAACAGAATCATGTGAGTGCTTACTTAAAATACAGATTCTGGGTTACTGCTTCAGATCTATTTAATCAGTATCTCTGGTGGTAAGACCCAAGATACATTTCAGTACCTTTCCTTGGTGATTCTCATGTATAATGTCATTTTTATGTAAAATACACTTGATAAAAGTATAAACATTCATAAAGTTTGGGATTAAGAACAAAATTCCTTTTCTATACTATGTCCTTTTATTTATTTATCAGAGATTAATATAAATTTGTAAGATAAAACCATTTTTTATTGTAGCTAGAGAAAAAGTACTTTGTGAAATAATTCTTAAAAGTGTATTCAACTTCAAATATTTGTAAATATTTATTATTGGAATACCAATTTGATGGAAAATATGTTCCTTATAACTTCTATTTTTTCTTGGTAATTCTACCACTACCTGTCAGTATAGACTGCACAGTACAGATTTCTTTTTAAATAAGCAGCTCAATTATTTTAAAACAAATGAAAATACTTATTTACTTTCTAATTAGAGAGGTACTACTACCTCACTAAAGGTAATTTTGAAAATATCCTATATAATAAAAGGCTAATATGCAAATAGACTGAAAGGCAGAACAACTGAACAACCAGTAGCTATGAGGTGCGCTAACCACCAGGGGGCACGCGCAGCACATGGTGGGTATCAGCAGCAGGCAGCAGAGCGCAGAACATGGCAGGAATTGGCCATGGCAGGATGGTGCAGCAGGTGATCAGACGAAGCCAGGGTGCCAGTCGTTGTCATCAGGGCGAGCCTCAGGTGGTTACTGAAAATTCTTTGCTCCCATGCACCACAGTCCCGCCTGGCGTTCACACCTGCTGCCCCCTCCCACCTGCAGCCAGAGCCACCGCTCACACCGCAGAGGATGGGCCGAGACTTGCCCCTGTGCCCACTGCAGCCTCATGGCCAACAGTTCCTTTCAAGGTGCACGAACTGGTATATTGGGCCCCTAGTGATATATAAAAGATAAAAGTAATAAAATAGCCACAATCCACTGTCCACCGTGTCACTCCCAATGATAAACACTTTAGTGTTGAACATGCCAACACAGATTAGAACCAGGATCACATGCTATTTTTAATGTAGTATACTCTCTGGTATACTACATTATGCTATTTTTCCAGGTACACACACACAAAAAGAAAACACACGCACACAACAACAACAACAACAAAGCTTAAGTGCATTACTGAGAGGATCATACTATAAATGTATATATTAAAGAAATCTAAATATGCATTTGTGTCATGAAAGGTGATACTCAATGAATACTACAAGGTAGACCCTCATGAGTTTAAATATTCAAAATGTCTTGACCAATTATAGTTAATAAAATTAAAATCAGAAACTTTTAACTTGAGACTTAGGTAATAAATCTAGCTATAAAGTAGTCCATAATAACTTGAGTGGAAACAACTAGAACTGCATGATATGTGGTCAGTACTATGGTAATCTGCCTGTTTTCAGACTTAAAAAATGTTGCCCCCAAGAAAAAATAACAAACTTTAAATCATCTGTAACTAATTCTAAAATTACTTTAAAACCTGTAAAGATTTCCATGCTATTTACAAAATAAAGGCTTTGTCAAATTTGTCTTAAAATATTTTGGAATGATTTGAGGTTACACATTTTAAAACTGGTAGTGAGCTGTATATAGTTTTCAAGTTTTATGTTATCCAAGAAATGCTAAGTGGTTGTTATGCTGGATAAAAATCAACACATTTGCCAAAACCGGTTTGGCTCAGTGGATAGAGCGTCGGCCTGCGGACTGAAAGGTCCCGGGTTCGATTCCGGTCAAGGGCATGTACCTGGGTTGCGGGCACATCCCCAGTGGGAGATGTGCAGGAGGCAGCTGATCGATGTTTCTCTCTCATTGATGTTTCTAACTCTCTATCTCTCTCCCTTCCTCTCTGTAAAAAATCAATAAAATATATTTTAAAAAAAATCAACACATTTAAATTCATTAAATTAAAAAAAAAATCCCAAATGACACTGAGACTGTCTCAGATATGTGCCTCTGCTTCTATACTGGAATAAGACCAATAAAAAGAAATTACGTACATCATATTCTAAATCTTTAAAAGAACCTTTCAAGTTAATACTTTATGTACCTTTAAGATGAGGTCTTAATGTGCAATGACAAATATCCCCAGAATTAAACACTATAAAAATATTAAAGCAAAAGTCATTAACTGCACAAGTATTCCTTTTGTAGACACATGCATGAATGTGCACAAAATAAAAAGCAAAAGCACCTTATGTATTTATAACACAGGCAATGCAATATTCTGGAGACGCCATAAAATATGCTCAGGCACCTAGGACAGGACAGAACAATGTACTAATCTGAAACTTTCGAAATCAATATTTTTCCTTTAATTGGAAAGTTCTAATGCCATAATATGGGTCTTTTATTTTAGAGAAACTATTGCTAGCAGAATTCAGAAAATTTAAAACAAACTCTCTAAAAGAAAAAGAAAAACTAAAAATAAAGCAAGACAGAATTCCATTTGTATATGCATTTGTGAACCCTTCTCTACACATAATCAACAGAGAAAAACATATCAATAAAATAATTCTCAAGAAAATGATGACCTAACACTGATGTAATTCAGATAAAATAAGGTGAAAGAAAATGAATATGACAGAGCTTTGAGACTAAACGAATAAAGAAAGAAAATTCAGAGACGGTGTTATGTGAGACATGTGTCAACAATGGGTAAGGAATTAACTAGATAATATTGATGTACAATTGAGTAAATTTTAGAAAAATATATAGTATGACTTCCATACATACTACCACATGTTGCTGATTTTGCACAACACTAGAAGCAGAAGACAAAGGTAACACTCTACTCAGTTGTTCCTTGTTTTCATAACCTTAGTCATTAAATATCTTTAGAAGCAAATATCTTCTTCCTTTCCCTTTTTCTACCCTTATGTCCCACAATCCAGTATGACTCAGGCAGGTTTTTATTTCAAATATGAGAGTGTAATCAATGTTTCACTATCTATTGTGAGGGTTAACACTTTCTTGAGATTATATACACTACACTCCCCAAATATAAATGACCCAAAACAGCTCATATAATTTCCCCAAACAACTTAAGCAATTACGTGACTTAAAGACAGTTAAAGAAAGGGTTTTTTAATTCTAAGTGATGTTAATTAAGTAATGAGGACTTCCAAAGAACTAAGACATTGAAAATGATAAAAAGTATAACAAATTCTCCTAGCACAGGTCAGTTGGAATGTCTAGAAGAGAGGAAAATAAAAATGAACACCATATAGGTTTTTTTTGCTCTGAAACCAAAACTCTACATTTGGAAAAAAATACTGTGTTGTATTAGTTGATGTGAAATATAGTACATGTATAAAACATAGTAATTGGGAGAAAAATACTGCATAATTGATTTCAAATTTATGAAATATTTTCTTTACATCAAGGAACGTGAATTCTCACTGCTAGAGCTACGATTAACTTCTGAATTTACTACTGGCTTACTCATAACTTAATCATCAAAGTTTCATTACTGAATAAAGAAATATATAATAGTGGCTTTTAAAATTCTCGAGAACTTATTATTTTAATGATAAACAATTCAAAAATAGAACAATCATTGCTTTTAAAACTAGAAGGGACCTCAAAAAATACTACTGTCCTTCAGGCAATTAAGGTATTAGTAGCCACTTCACAGTTTGAAAGAGATGTCAAGATTATCACAATGCAAGACTTACTTAGGGACATATAGTTAGCAAGCAAGAAACAGCCCCAGTTCCTACAGGTAATCTTAGGAAATATTACAATTCCATACATTTTCTAAGCAACTTGCCACTAACAGCACTCCTAACCTTCCCTCAATTATTACATAAAAACTCTAACATAATTAAGCAAACATTATAAGATACTTCTTCAGTCTCATATCTCGTTATATGGTATCCTATATAATAAAGGCTAATATGCAAATTGAAAGGAGGAATGACCAGTCACTATGATGCACACTGACCACCAGGGGCAGATGCTCA